CCCGACGCGGGAGCCCAGCGGGACGACGGGACGCGCAGCGCGCACGCGCAAAAGGGAGGAGCTCCCAACCGCCGCGGCCGGGCTGCTCGAGGACATGGCCCCGCCCCAACCGGTGCTTAGTGACGCTCCGGCGGCTGGCGGTGCGGATGTGGTGGTGTTCGGAACAAGCACAGGATCGGGTTAGTTGAGCGCTGAGTGCCCTTCTCCATAGGTGGCCTTGGAACACCCAGCTGGGGAGGTTGGGGGGAGGCAGTGCGCCCCATCCCTCGAAGAAGCTTCTCTTTAAATTTTTAAAAATTTGTTCTTTAACATATACATGACAGTAGAGTACGTTGACATATCATCTACAGGGGTGTAACTTCCCCTTCTCCTCGTGGTTGTACACCATGTGGAGGGACACTGGTCGTGTGTTCACATAGGAGCACAGGACAGTTACCTCCCTTCCTTCTGCTGTCTCTCCCGCTCCTGTCCCCACTTTCCCTTCGCCCCGCTTCGTCGGATCCAGTGAACTTCTACTCTCCGCTCCCCCCTGTGGGTCGGCGTCTGCAGATCAGAGAGAAGATTCATTCGGCCTTTGGTTTTTTTGGGGATTGGCTTAGCATGATAGTCTGGAGGAAGCTTCTTTTTTTAAAATTTACATATATATATATGTGTATATATTATGTGTACATATAATATATATATATATATATATTTTAAAGTTGTTGATGGACCTTTATTTTATTTATTTATATGCAGTGCTGAGAATCCAATCCAGTGCCTCACACATGCTAGGCAAGTGTGCTACCACTGAGCCACAACTGCAGCCTCAGTTTCTGCACCTGAAAAAAGAGGTTATGTGGCACATAGTAGATGCTCAGTGTGCATTTGTTGAATAGATGAGTGGGGAGTGGGACAGTCTTAGTACTGAACCTGGAACGCCAAGATGGTGGTTGGCCCTATGCCTGATGACCCTGAGACTTATTACTGTTTTTTATTATTGAAGCTCTAATGATTGTTCAGAAGCAATATATAGTAAAGTGATTGGGCACATATGCCTGGGATGAAATCCCTGTACACAAGACTTCACCTCTTTGAACCTAGAGTTTGCTTGGTTGAGACTGGGAAATAATGACCGTATGGTGGATAAGGAACAAATGAGCCAGTATTCACTCCTTAATTATTACTTATTTTATTATTTATTTTAAAAGATTCACTAAGGCCAGGGTTTTACCTTCTTCATACAGGTCTTTCCAATAGGGAGAAAAATGCTACACAAAATAGGCACTCGGGCTGAGGTTGTGGCTCAGTGGTAGAGCACTTGCTCAGTTAAAGGTTCAGAGATAATTTAAATCCAGGGTCAGCTACTGGTTTATGGGTCTTTATCTTGCAACTCCAGAATTCAGATTCCTCTTTGGTAAACTGACTTTGGAGAACATATGTACTTCCCTTTCTTTCCCAAGATTCTGGAACTCTCTGAATACTTGGAGCCAGCCCACGGGACTCCTGGCATTCACAACTGAGTTAAAAGTTCCCAATCTTACCACAGTTCCTCATTTTTCAAGTTTTCCTATTTACCATGACAGGAAAAGAGGCTTCATTTTCCTTCACATTTTAAAAAACATTTTATTGGTTGTGAATGGACACAATACCTTTATTTATTTTTATGTGGTGATAAGGATTGAACCCAGTGCCTCATATGTGCTAGGAAAGTCCTCTACCAATGAGTTCCAAACCCAGCCCTTCCTTCACATTTTGAGGGGTTTCAACTGTGCCCTACCTAAACTGTGGGAATATGGAATATGAACTTAGATCCCCTTCCTTAGAAAAACACAGTTTAAGCAGAACTCTTGACAAACCAGCAGATGGTATCAATGAAATGCAAAGCCCTCTTAGGAAAAAAAGTAGTAGGAGAATTAAAGGTCATTCTGGTGTTAGCTTTTAGGGTTCTAATTGCACACACTTCTCCCACTTTGACCCAGCAACTCCACTTCTAAGGATATCCATTTTTTTTCTATGTATATTCTCATTTAAAAAATGATATTATGAAAGCACACTAGAATATATATATATGTACACATATTTAAAACAAAAGAAGGAAGTAATGGAAGAATTGAACAAAAAAGACTAGATGCCTAGAAAAATAAGAACAACATAAATAAATCCTCATCAGTAATTATATTAAATGAAAATGGATTAAACTCGCCACTTAATATGCAGAAATCATTAGAGTGAGTTTTAAAACAATAATCCACCTGTATGCTATCTAAAAGAGTCTCACTTTAGCTTCAAAAAGTAGGTTAAAAGTAGATGGATAGGGTTGGGGATATAGTTCAGTTTGTAGAGTGCTCTCCTCATGTACAAGGCCCTGGGTTCAATCCCCAGCACCAAAAAAAAAAAGAAAAGAAAGTAAATGGATAGAAAAAGATATTCTATGCAAATACTGATACCAGACAAAATAGATTTAAAAACTATATAATGACATGAGTTTCAATCTATCAGGAAGATATTATTCTAAACATACCTGCACCTAACAGAGCCCCAGGATATATGAAGCAGAAAGTAATAATTGGGACTGGGATTGTGGCTCAGCAGTAGAGCACTCGCGTAGCACATGCAAGGCCCTGAGTTTGATCTTCAGCACCACATAAAAATAAATAAATAAAGGTATGTGTTCAACTAAAAAATATATTAAAAAAAGAAAATCCACATCAATATGCTCCTAAATGTGCAAAGGATTTAAGAAAAAAAATTGCAAAGGAAATTAGAAAGTGCTTTGAAAACAACAGCAAACCATTCCAAAATTTATGGTATGCAATAAAAGAAGAGTTTAGAGGGAAATCTATAGTTATAAATGTCTACATTAAAACAGAAAAGCTGAATTCATTGGCGCATGCCTGTAATCCTAGAACCACAAGTTTGAGGCCAGCATGGGCAACTCAGCAAGATCTTGTCTCAGAATAAAAAAATAAATAAAAAGGGCTGGGGATGTAGCTCAGGGGGGAAGCACCTCCAAGTTTAATTCCAAGTATTAAAAAACAAGACAACAACAACAACATACCCAGAACATCTCACACGAACAATTTAAGCTTCATTAACAAAGTGGAAGAAGAAATAAAACCCAGAGCAAGAAGAGATATGGAAATAAGAAAGATTAGAGCAGAGAGAAATGAAATGAGGAGAAGAAAACAACACAGAAAGTCAACAAAACTAAAAGTTGTTTCTTAGAAAGAGTCAAGAAAATTCACCAACCTTTTGTTAGACTGACAAGAAAAAGAAGTTTCAAATTAAAATCAGAAATGAAAGAGAGGACAACAGTACTGACTCTACAGAAATAAGAGTGATTATAAGGAAATGGTGTGACCAATGGACGCAGGAAAGTAGATGATTACCTGAAACTGACAGATTTCTGGAAACACATAAATTGCTAAAACTGATTAAAGAAGAAATAAAACAAAACAAAACAAAAACACCTGACAAGGGCCAAATGTGGTGGTGCACTTCTGTATTCCCAAAAATTCAGGTGGCTGAGGCAGAAGGACTGCAAGTTCCAGGCCAACCTCAGCAATTTAGCAAGACCCTGACTCAGATGTATAAAAAGGGCTGGGGATGGAGCTTAGTGGCAGAGCACCCCTGGGTTCAATTCTCTGTACTGAAAAAGAAGAGCCAGGCACTGTGGTGCACATCTGTAATCCCAATGGCTTGGGAGGCTGAGGCAGGAAGATCGTGAGTTCGAAGCCAGCTTCAGTAACTTAGAGAGGCTTTAAGCAACTCAGAGGGAATTTGTCTCTAAATAAAATATAAAAAAGGGTTGGGGGGTGCTGTGGCTGTGGCTGTGGCTCAGCGGTAGAGCGCTACTTAGCACCACATAAATGGGCTGGGATTGTGGCAGAGTGGTACAGTGCTTGCCTAGCATGCATGAGGCACTAGGTTCGATCCTCAGCACCACATACAAATAAATAAAGATATTGGGCTGGGGGTGTGGCTCAAGCGGTAGCACGATCGCCTGGCATGCGTGCGGCCCAGGTTCGATCCTCAGCACCAATACCAACAAAGATGTTGTGTCTGCCGAGAACTAAAAAATAAATATTAAAAATTCTCTCTTGCTCTCTCTCTCTCTCTCACTCTCTCTTAAAATAAATAAATAAAGATATTGTGTCCACCTAAAACTAAAAAATCAATACTAAACATTTTTTTAAAAATAAGTAAAAGAAAGGCATTGTGTCCAACTACAACTAAAAAAATTTTAAAAAAGGGTTGGGGATGTGGCTCAGTGATTAAATACACCTGGGTTCAATCCCCATTGCCAAAATAAATAAGTAAATACTTAATAGTCAAAAATTTAAAAATTTTAAAATTCCAACAAAGGGAAGCCCAGGGCCTAATGGTTTCACCCACTTATTCTACCACCATTTAAAGAATTAACACCAATTCACACACTCTCCAAACAAGCAAATGAATAGTGAAGAGAAAAGACCACTTACTAACTCTTCCTATGAGTATATTATCATCCAAAGCCAGTCAAATGCATCACAAGGAAAGAAAACTCCAGACTAGTAGTCTTGATAAACACAGCTGAAAAAACTCCCAGAAAAAAATACTGTAAAATAAAATTCAATATCATATAATAATATTACACTATGACCAATTGGGATTTATCCCAGGAATGTCAAGTTGATTCAAAATATAAAAATTAAGCAATATAACAAATCATGTTAATAAAATAAAGGAGGAAAATAATTGTCCCAATAGCCCTAGAAAAAGAAAAAGTCTTAATATCCTTCTGTGATAAAAACAGTAAATCAGGAATAAATGAAAAGGAACTTCTCATCCTGATAAGAGGCATGTATGAAAGTCCCACAGCTGGGCTGGGGTGTGGCTGAATGGCAGAGTGTCCTCCTAGCATGTGTGAAGCCCTGGGTTCCATCCCCAATAGAAAAACAAGCAAAAACAACAGAAAAACAAGCAAACAAATCAGCCAACCCATGGCTAATGTCATACTTAATGGTTGAAGACTGAAAACCTTTTTCCTAAGATCAAGAACAAATTGAGGGGCCAGGGTTGTGGCTCAGTGGTAGAGCACTTACCTAGCATGCATGAGGCACTGGGTTCGATCCCTGGCACCATACAGAAATAAACAAAATAAAGGTATTGTGTCCAACAACAACTAAAAAAGTATTTTAAAAAAAGAACAAATTATAATCATAATGTGAGTGGGCCTCATTCAATCAATTAAAGCTTTAATATGAAGACACTGACCTCCCCAAACATTCTTGCCATTTCTATTCAACAATGTGTTAGTGGTTCTAGAAAGATCATTCAGACAAAAATAAAGAAAAGAGAAAAGAAGGAAGAAAGAAACGGAAAGGAAAGGAAAGGAAAGACAGAAGGAAGGTCATTTACATTGGTTGAGAAGTGAAACAACTCGATTTACAAATGACATGATCATATATGCATATATATACCTAAGGGGTACACACAGACAAAAAAAAATTGAGCTAATAAGGAGTTCAGCAAAGTTGTAGGATGCAAGATCAGTGTTCAAAAGTCTGTGATATTTCTATACACTGCAATTAAAATCTTAAAATGAAATTAAAAAGTGATTCCATTTAAAATAACATCAACAAGAATAGGAATTCACATTGAAAATTATGAAACATTTTTAAGCAAATTAAATAAGACTTAAATAAATGGAAAGACCTCTAGTATTCCTGGATTGGAGAACATAATCTTGTGAAGATAGCAATACTATTCCCAATTTGATCCACAGATTCATTTCAAACCTTATCCATAATTCCAACTAGAATTTTTTATGTGTGTCAGAAAAGGTCAACTTTATCCTAAAATTCACATGGAAATGCAAAAGACCCTGAATAGTCACGTTAATTACTTATTTATTTGGTACTGGGGATTGAACCTAGCATGCATGTGGCACTGGGTTCAATCCTCAGTACCACATAAAAATAAAAAAGATATTGTGTCCACCTAAAACTAAAAAATAAATATTAAAAAAGATACTATTGACTGTTCTTCCAGTAATTAAAAAAAAAAAAAGCACTGATAGTCTATGGCCTGATGTGGCAATAGAAACATGCAGATATCACCATTGATACTCCTAATCAAATTCCTATAAGGGACAGGGTTACAGGTAACCAAGTATATGATACTTTCAAGTATTTCTGTCCAACTAACACGATAATGAGGTTGTCTGGTTGTTCCTAATGTTGCTGGACAAAGTAGAAAATGATAAAAATGAGCTCAGGGATTCCAATTCCCAGCTCCATCACTACTAGATAACCTGATATTTCTGGTTGAAAAATACCCTTATTTCTTTTAGCTGCAGATCTGAGATTGCTGAAAATCAAACCTAGAATCTCATTCTGCTAGTGACTGTCATCACAATGCAAACTGACCTCCAAAGTTCACGAGGTGCCTGCTGTTAAAGTGAGGGCCTTAATTGGGAAGAAATGGGATCCTTAAAATTGGAACTTGGACGTATAGAAAGACTGATGAACCTGGATGCATTGAGTCCCTAAATTCCACCATTCCTTTTTTTCTCAGTTCCAGGGATTGAACTCAGGGGCACTTAATAACTGAACCATATCCTAGCCCTATGTTTTGTATTTTATTTAGAGACAGGGTCTCACTGAGTTGCTTAGGGCCTCACTTTTGCTGGGGCTGGCTTTGAACTTGCCATCCTCCTGTCTCAGCCTCCTGAGATGCTGGGAATTACAGGCATGTGCCACTGCACCCGGCTTTATACTTTATTTTGATCAGGGTCACACTAAATTGCTCAGGGCCTTGCCAAGTTACTGGGTCTGGCTTTGAACTTGCAATCCTCCTGCCTCAGCCTCCAGAGTTGCTGGGATTGCAGGCCTGTGCCACCACGCTGGCAAGAGTCCCTAAATTCTGATGGGTCTCTTTGCCAGCAATAGCAAGCTCTCCACCCACACCTTACATAATGTAAGTTAGCCTCACATTGCCTAATGAACCGTAATGACGTCCTCAGAGACAGTTGTCTTCCAAGGTTCCTCAGAACCCACCTCCTCCACCTCACTTGTCTTCTGGACCTATCACTAGACATTGGTCCCGGGAAGTGCCTAACGGTTCAACCCAAAGAATAACCCAGGAGGAGCTTTGCTACACTCCAAAAGGACTACTTGATTTTTTCTAATATATAAAAATAAACATTTCAGGAATACGTGTGAGAATGGATATGAAGAGCGTGGGATGACGGTGGGAAGGACACAGAGTTGGCTCAGGCAGAATGGGTTGACACGGGCCACAAGCAGAGATTCTACCTTTCATGTTGTGTCACACAACTAAACCGGTCAGGGTCACTCCAAGTGAATTTGGGGCCTAAATAAAGACGCAGACACCGAAAGTACCTTTTCTTTGGGTTCAGTGACTACTCCTGAGCCACATCTCCCACAAGGTGGGCAAGACAGGCAAGAGGAGAGCACAGAGCAGGTGCCGAACCCTTTTATTGAGGAGAAGCCTCTCACATGAGGCAAGGAGTCAGGTTTCAGGGGGTGGAGTCTAGCTTGTTGATGTCTGCTGTCAGCAGATTGACTGACATCTTGGAAGGCCACGCCCATCTCATGAGCTGTGTGGGGAATCACAGGCTGATTGAGTGAAAAGGACACGTTTGTCGCCAGCCCAAACAGAGAGGCAACCTCAGTCCAGTTTATTTAGTTGGTTGGATGAAACATTGACAAAAGGTGGCCCACCAGGTGCCAATTGCAAATGCCACACGGGGAAGGCCCAGAAGATACACCTCTCACCAATATGTGAGAAGTAAACGTGCAAGGGAAGCCCGGTTTCCTTGAAGAAGAGCTCTGCAGTTGCTCTGTGTCTGGAGGCGGCAGTGTGGAAACTGAAAATTAAAGGCAATGGGGGTAGTGGGGTCCCAACTGGCATTGCAGGGGCCAGGTGGCAGCACTCAGCCACCAAGGGCAAGGTGATGGTAGTCACCATATTGGACGGCAGAGTCAAAGCAGCAGTTGAGCAGGGGATGTAGCTCAGGAGTGGAGCACTGGCTTACCATACGCAAAGCCCTGTGTTGGATTCCCCAGTACCAAAAAGAAAAAGAAAAAGAAAGAAAAAGCAGCAATCAAAATAGTCTGATTCACTCAGACCTGTGGAGTTCCTAAAAGTGAAATAGATAGGAAGTCCACTAAATTCTTATTTGATCTGTAGAAACAGAAATGTGTCTAGGTCAAGGGAACAAGAGTCTATCCTGAATTGTAAGAATGAAGACCCACGGCCCCTCAACCAGCTCCCAGACCTGAGGTGATTTACAGACCCAGAACCCCTTGAAGAAAGTGGAGGCTGGGTCCCCTTGAGGAAGGGCCTGGGACACTGCCAAACATTTATACTATCAATCATTCTCAGACTTCTTTACCAGGGTTAACTATGCATTGAGGAAAAGGAAATAATGAGACCATTTGGGGACTGCTGGGCACTGGCTCTGAACGGACATTGATTCCAGGAGACCCCAACATCACTGAGGTCTCCCAGTAAGAGTAGGAGCTTATAGAAGTCAGGTGAGCAATGAATTTTAGCTCGGGTCTGTTTCACAGTGGGCTCAGTATGTCCAGAAACCCATCCTGTGGTTATTTCCCAGTTCCAGAATGCAGAGTTGGAATGAATAGACGACAGATATAGACAACCCCTGAGTGTGGAGTGAGGGCTGTTATGGTAGGAAAGGTCAAGTCAAAGCCACAAAACTGTCTCTACCCAGGAAAATTGCAAACCAAAAGCATTACCACATTGCTGGAGGGACTGTAAAGAGGAATGCCACTCACCAACTTAAAAGGTGCAGGGATGGTGATTTCCATCTTGTCTCCATTCAGCTCTCCTGTGCGACCCCAGCAGAGGACAGATGAAGAACAGTGGTTCAGGGTGAGCTTAACCACTGCAGCGGCTCTGCCAGGTGCGGTTTCATTGCTTGAGCAAAGTAGCATCTCCCCGGATACCTGATACGCCGCTATTGATCTGACAAATGCCATTTTTCTTCTGTCCCTGTTAGTAAGGACCACCAGGAGCAGTTTGCTTTCATCTGACAAAGCCAGCAGTACACCTCCGCTTCCTAGCTCAGCAGAGAGCCAGCTCTCCAGCCCCATGTCATCCTTTAGCCCACAGGGAGCTCCTCTCCTTTCCCTCCCACAAGGTACCTCTCTGCTCCATTACGTGGTGCGTTATGTAGAGTGGACTGAGTCATCGACAAGTAGAGACTCCGCTGGACTCGTTAGTAAGGCAGGTCAGAGGATGGGAAATAAATTTGACAAAACTTCGAGGCCCCCAACCTCAGTGAAATTTCTGTGGCTCCTGCAGGCTGGGGTCAAGATATCCCTTCTGAGATACAGAAACAGGTGTTGCCTCTGACCCCTCCTACAACCCAGAGAAGGGGGCAGTGCCTAGTGGACCTCTTTGGGTTCTGGAGATAATATATTCCATAATTGGGCGTGTTACTCTGACCTATTTACCAAGTCACCAAAAAAGCAACTAGTTTTCTGCCGGGCACTGTGGCATACACCTGTAACCCAGCAGCTCAGGAGGTTGAGACAGGAGGATAGAGAGTTCAAAGCCAGCCTCAGCAGAGGTGAGGTGCTAAGCAACTCAGTGAGACCCCGTCTCTAAATAAAATACAAAATAGGGCTGGGGTGTGGCTCAGTGGCTGAGTGCCCCTGAGTTTAATCCCTGGTACCAAAAAAAAAAAAAAAAAAAAACCTAGTTTCTTTGAGTGGGATCTTAAATTAGAGAAGGGCCAGTCCCAGTCTGGGCTGCCCTGTGAGCTGCCCTGTCAGCTGGGCCAGCCGGGCCATAAGATCTAACAAATCCAACAGAGCTTGAAGTACATGTGGCAATAAAGGGTGCTATTTGGATACTTTTCAGACCCTTTAAGTGAATCACGCTGCAGGCCCATGGGAATTTGTCACAAAGTCCTGCTGTCCCCTGAGGATAACTACTCTCCTTTGGGGAAATGGCTCCTGCCCTGCTACTAGACTTTAATTGAGACTGAGTGCTTACTCATGGGACACCAAGTCACCATGCAACCTGAACTGCCCATCATGAACTGAGTGTTTTATGACTCACTAACCCATAAAGCTGAGCACGCACAACAGCGCTCTATCATCAATGAACGTGGCACATACGCTTGGCTCTCTTATCTGCCAGTTCTGCATCTGCAGATTCAACCCACCATGAATCAGAATTTTTTTTTTTGTACTAAAGATTTAACTCAAGGGCACTCAGTCACTAAGCCACATCCCCAGCCCTATTTTTTAAAAATTATTTTTTAGTTGCAGTTGGACACAATACCTTTATTTTATTTATTCTTATGTGATGCTGAGGATTGAACCCAGTGCCTCACACATGCTAGGCAAGTGCTCTACCACTGAGCCACAACCCCAGCCTCCCTATTTTGTATTTTATTTAGAGACGGGGTCTCACTGAGTTGCTTAGTGCCTCACCATTTCTGAGGCTGGCTCTGACCTCACAATCCTCCTAACTCAGCCTCCCCAGCCCCTGGGATTACAGGTATGCACCACCATGCCTGGCCAGAAATACTTTTTCTAATTGCTTCTGTACTGGATATGTAGATTTTTCCTTATTATTCCCTAAACAATGGGATATAACAACTATTTTTTAATATTTATTTTTTAGTTTTAGGTGGACACAGTATCTTTATTTTCTTCCCATGTGGTGCTGAGAATTGAACCCAGTGCCTCACGCATGCTAGGCGAGCATGCTACCACTTGAGCCACATCCCCAGCCCTAGATATAACAATGTAACACAGCACTTATATTGTATTTGTATTGAGAATTATAAATTATATAGAAATGATTTAAAGTCTGTGGGAGGATGAATATAGGTTCAATGCAAATACTATGTAATCTATGTAACTTTATGTCAGAAACTTGAGCATTCACAGATATTGGTATCTTGTGTGGGGGGGGTGGTCCTGGAATCCTGTGGTTACTAAGGGGTGAGTATACCTGATTGGCCCAAGTAAACCTGAAGACACAAGTAACTTACATAAGTGACCCAATGCTCCTGGTCCCCATTCTAGCTACGCTGCTACGCTGCCTTCTCTTTCTCAGCCAGAAGCATGGCCTGCTGGGAGTTCCATATGATCAGTTGACAGAGGAACAGAGGACTTGGCCTGGTTTGCAGATGGTTCTGCATGATCTGCAGGCACCACCCAAAAGCGGACAGCTGCAGAGTACAGCCCCTTGCTGGGATCTCCCTAAAGGACAGTGGTGAAGGGAAATCCTCCCGGTGGGAAGGCCTTCGGGCAGTGCACCTGGTTCTGACTTTGTTTAGATGGAGAAAAGGCCAGATATGTAACTAAATACTGATTCATGGACCATAGCCATTGGTTTGGCGGAAGCATCAGGGATGTGGAAAGAACAGGACTGGAAAATTGGTAACCAGAACTTCTGGAGATGAGAAACGCAGATAGATCTCTCTGAAGGAGGGAAACATGAAGATATTGGTGTCCCATGAGAATGCCCACCAAAAGTGACCTCTGCAGAGGAGGATTTTAATAATCAAGTGACTTGTTCTGTGGACAGCCAGCCTCTTTCCTAGCCACCCCTGTCATTGCCCCTGGGGCACATGAACAGAGGGACCATGGTGGAAGGGCTGGGGGTTAAGCTTGGACTCAGCAACATTGACTTCCGTTCACCAAGGCTGGCCTGGCTAAGTGCCCAATCTGCCAGCAGAGGAACCCCCGAAATGGTACCATTCCTGAAGGTGATCAGCCGGTAACCTGGTGGCGGGCTAATTATGTTGGATCACTTCTGTCATGGGAGCAATAGTGCTTTATCTGTACTGGAATAGATGCCTATTCTAGGTATGGATTTGCCTTCCCTGCACAGAATGCTTCTGCCAGTACTACCATCCCTTGTCCACTGTATGTTCCCCCGCAGAGCATTGAAGTATTGAATTATGGAATACTGTGTTAGTCAGCTCTCTGTTACTATAACAAAATGCCCAAGATAATCAACTTCTTAAAAAGAAAAGTCTTGGGCTGGGGTTGTGGCTCAGAGGTAGAGTGCTTGCCTAGCATGCATGAGGTACTGGGTTCAATCCTTAGTACCACATAAAAAAATAAAATAAAAATATTGTGTCCACCTATAACTAAAAAATAAGTAATTTTAAAAAAAGGAAAATCTTCTTTAGGCCCACAGTTTTGGTCAGTTGGCCTGTGATGAGGCAGCCCAGCATGGTGGAGAGTATATGGCAGAAGGAACCCATTCAACTCAGAGTTGGAACATGAAAGAAAGAAAAGACTAGGGCCCCCAAATTTTCTTTAAGGGCATATCCCCAGTGACTTAAAACCTCCCACTAGGCCCCACTTCCCAGTAGTGCCATGGGCTGGAGTCCAAACCTGCGCTTTGGGAACTTTTATCCAAACTCTGGCTGATACCAAGAAGACTAAACATCACCTGAGAACTCTAGCTCCTCTTCTGGGGAAAGTGTTGGTGCATTTTTTGGTACTATGCAGGACAGCTGTATCATTTTGGATGGAAGTATGACATTGTTATTGGCTTTATTTGGAAAATTTTTAAGAATGGTATAAGAATATATGTATAAGTGAGGATTGTTAATTTTATTAGTCAGCTTGGCTAGACCATGGTACCCAGAGATATGGAATTTGATCAAACGTGCTAGATGTTTCTGTGAAGGGTTTTTATTTATTTATTTTTTCTTATTTTGGTACCAAAAAACCAGAGGACTGAACCCAATGGTACTTTACCACTTTACTACATCACCAGCCCTTTTTATTTTTTATTTTGAGACAGAGTCTCACTAAGTTGCAAGACTTGCCTTAAACCTGTGATTCTCCTACCTCAGCTTCTCAAGTCCCTGGATTACAGGCGTGGCCACCATGCCCAGTATCCCTCCCTCCTGCAGTGCTGGGGACTGAACGCAGGGCCTGTGCATGCCAGGTGCCTGCTCTACTGCTCAGCTGTATCCCCGCCCTGTGAAGGTGTTTTTCACATGAGATTAATATTTAAATCACCATATTTTGAGTTAAGCAGATTACCTCTATAAAGTGGACCTTGTCCAATCAATCGAGGGCCTGAGCAGAAGGACACCAACTTCACCTAGTAAGAAGTAATCTGCTATCAGAATACCTTTGAACTTGAACTGCAACTCTTTTCTGAGTTTCCAGCCTTCCAGTCTACCCTGAAGTTTTTTTTTTTTTTTTTTTTTTTTTAAAAAAAAAAGGAGAGACAGAGGGGGACAGAGAGAGAGAGAGAATTTTAACATTTATTTATTTTTTCTTAGTTCTTGGCAGACACAACATCTTTGTTGGTATGTGGTGCTGCTGAGGATCAAACCCGGGCCGCACGCATGCTAGGCAAGCGCGCTACCGCTTGAGCCACATCCCCAGCCCCTACCCTGAAGTTTTTGGACTTGCCAAACCTCTACAATCATGTGAGAAAATCCTATAAAATAAGTCTCTCTGTCTTACTGTATCTTTACACACACACACACACACACACACACAGTGCCGGTTCTGTTTCTCTGAAGAATCCTAACATACCATTAATTAAAAATAAATAAATAAATAAATATTGTTCCTTTGACAAATGGTCCAGGGCATCTGGATAAGCAAAAGAATGAATCTGGAGACACCACAGGTGCATAGAGAAAGAGACCACATGTGGATATGGAGGGGAGGTGGCCATCTAAACCAAGGAGAAAGGCCTCAGAATGTAACCACACCTGTGGGCACCTTGATCTTGGACTTCTAGTCCCTAGAACAGTGAGAACATAAATCTGTTCTTTAAGGCCCTCCACCTTAAAAAAAAAAAAAAAAGAATTTGGACTCCTTCTTCACACCATATACAAAAATTAGCTCAAAATGAATCAAATATCTGAATATATGAATTAAAATCATAAAACCCTAAAAAGAAAGCATGGAGGTTAATCCTCATGACCTTGGATTAGGCAATAGTTTCATAGATATAACACAAGCACAAGCAGTTATAGAGAAAATAGATTTATTAGACTTGACCAAAATTTAAAGCTTGTATGTCAAGGGGCACCATCAAAAAAAAAAAAAAAAGAAAAGAAAAGAAAAGAAAAAGAAAAAGAAAAGACAAACTCACAGGATGGGGGAAATGGTTTGCAAACTACATATCTGTAAAGGGACTGATATCCATAATATAAAAAGAACTCTTGGGCTGGGGCTGGGGCTCAATGGTAGAGCACATGTCTAGCATGTGTGAGGAACCTGGCTGAATTCTCAGCACCACTTAAAGAAATAAAATAAAGCTACACACAAACACACACACACACACACACACACACATATAAGACATACCAAAATTTAAAAAAAGAACTCTTAATTAAAGCTCAATAATAATAAAAAAAGAAATAATTCAAGCACAAAAGGGTGAAGGATTTGAATATATACTTTTCCCCAAAAGTCATTCAAGTGGCTCACACATACATGAGAAGATGCTGACCGTCACTAGCTATTAGGAAAAAGCAAGTCAAACTCACGATGAGGTGGAGAATGGTGCGCATGTCTGTAATCTCTGTGACTCGGGAGGCTGAGG